CGCATTTCTTTTGATAGACGAAGCCTAACAATGGTAAAAGTTGGAAGCAGCAGCTCTGGGAAGCAGAAGAGAGCCATGTCTTTCAGAGAATCTGAGGAGGAATGAGGTCGGTCAGCCCACAAAGACCCTGGAAACAGGCGGTGGGGCTTATTTCCCAGTCCATACATTCAGTATATCGCCTCCCCATCTAGCTCCTGAGCTGGTCCACTCTGGGCCAACTCTATGTCACAATGAACAGACGCCAAGGGCCAGCTGCCGGGGACTGGTGGAGAGCTTTGAGAGCCAGTCTTGGAAAGATAGAAGGATGGAAGAAGACCAAGAAAAGAAAGTGAGAGAGAGAAACATGCATGGGTGAGGGGGGGAGAGGCAGAGAGACAGAGAGAGACAGAGAGACAGACGACAGGCTCAGAGGGAGGGCTAGGAAGGTCAGATGAGCAACAGCAATCAATAATTGGGGTGCTCTCCAACAATTGCCTAAGCAGCTAACTTTCCAGGAGCTGCCTCTTAGCTTCCCTGCCTGCAGAGGATGGGGTGGGGGTGGGGGTATCAGTGGTCCTGTGGGTTTGCAGAGCGTCCCTGGAGATTCCTTTGTTTAGGGAGGGGAACTGTCCTTCTGCATGCCCAGCCGGTCTTCCCAGTGGCAACAAGCTTTATGCTCTGGGCTACAGGGTATTCTTTACTTTCTCCTCCTCCATTTTTGAAGAGGCGGTTCAAACCTTACCAGGACAGGGCTGGTTTAATTAGATGCTGACTGAAATAGGATCTGAGAAAGAAGAAATCTCTTGGGAGTCAGGGGGCGGTTTGTAAAACTGTGGCTGCAGTGCCCCCTGCTGGAAATAACGGAGGGGACCGGCGACGTTGGTCGGCAGCCAGCACTGCAAAGATCTGAGAGGTGCAGGGTGACCACCTTATAACTCGGCCTACCCAAGGAGGGCAAACATATCTCAAGAAAGAACACAGGCTTCAATTAGGATACAGAGTTCAGCCTATGGAAAAGAACTGCTAGACTGTCACTGCAAGGGTTCTCTTTTGAGAACTTCTGAAAGTTAATCTGGTTATTTCCAACCCCAAAGTTAATCTGGTTATTTCCAACCCCATGCTTTCTTGATGGCTGGCTGGTTGGCTCAGCCGCATCTGCTTTGAAAGAAAGCCACAGCTAGTGACCGGTTTCAGCTTAAACTTTGTTGGCTTTTTCTTTCTTTTTAAAAATTTCGGTACTCTGGAAAGCAATGTGGTGTTTTAAAAGAAGAGGAAGGGAGCTGTGCTTGCCTTGCAAGCAAGAGGACACAACTGAGATCCTCAGAACCCATGCTAAAGAAAAGCTAGGTGCTGTGGTATGCACTTCTAATCCCAGCGTTGTGAGACGGGAGGTAGAGGCAGGAGGATCCCTGGGCACCTGGGGGCAGCAGCCCAGGCTGGAGAGTCCCTGTCTTAAAGAAAAGGTGGAGCCACCTGATGACCAGTACTGAAGGTTGTCCCGTGATCTCTGCAAGCACGTCATGAAGACACGTGTGCGTACCACCACATGGGACCACATGCACAGAATCCATACACAGATAGCAAGGGAGGGAGGAAGAGAGGGGACGAGGGAGGAAGAGAGGGAGACAAGGAGGAAGGGTGGAGGAGGAAGAGGAAGAGGAAGAGGAGGAGGAGGAGGAGGAGGTGGAGGAGGAGGAGGAAGACGAAGACCACCAGCAGCAGCAGCAGATGCATTAATAAGAAACCAGTTGAAGCAGATATTTGGGCCCTAAGGCTGCAAGGTCAATCTAGGTAATACAGATACCCATGCTGGACTTTTTATGAACAATCAGCAGCTCCGTGAGCATGTGGCCAGCCTGACTCCTGCCTGGTTCCACTGACTGGCAACAGCAGGTCTTCCTTGTGAATGCGCCCAGAGCTGGACTCTGGTCAGTGTCTTGGCACCCAGTTTTCTCCTGCAGAAAGGAAACATCTGAGACGCTTCCTCATGGAGCCTCCAAGCTCACCCCTAGTCAAAGGCAAGACAGGAAGTTTATGGTGATGCACAGAGAAAACCCTACCCCAGAGCCAGCCACAGTTGGCCTCACTCATAAGGATTCTTGGAAGTCCCTCACACTAACGGACAGCTAGGCTTGAGCTAACTCACCACTTGCATCATGAGCCCACTTCTTCATCCTAAAGCAAGATTTTGATGGTTAATCATGTTTGGGAGAAAGAAATACACAGGCGATTAGTCTGTGTCCATGAGGCTATCTCCAGACTGCTGAGTCACGAGGGCTCTGGCTGAATGGATTAATCCCTGGATGGATTCTAATATGATGACATCACTGGGATGTAGTGGGAGAAGTAAATGGGCCTCCTTGGAGGTCTGAGGCCCTAGGGAAGTGTCCTTGGGGTGGTACTTTGCCCTGAGCCCTTCAGACCTTATTGTTCTCTGCCACTGTCACATGACTAATGTGCTGGTTCCCCATCAACTCACAAACCACAGTCATCAGCAAGCTTTATTATTTTTTACAAGGAAAAGTTTTGCCTTGCTTTATGGTAGAAACTGAGCATCTTTTCAGATTTGCAAGCTGAATAAATTAACTTTACTGTGAATTGTCTGATCTTATAAATTTGCCCTTTTTTCTACCGGCCTAGTTATTTTTAAAATTTTAAATTAAATTTTATTTTTTTCGTGTGGGGGGCACTGGGGAGGACAAGTGTGTATGCTGAACCAGAGGACAACTTGTGGAAATTAGCTCTTTCCTTCCACTGAATGGGTCCTGGGGATTGAACTCGGACCCTCAGGCTTGACAGCACACCCTTCTCCCAGATGAGCCATCTTGCCAGTTCTGGCTCATCTGTTTTTATGGCTGTGATAAGGAGGACTTTGCCAGTGAAGAAACTGGCCTTTTATTATCAAGTTTAATGCATTTCAGTCAGTTTATCATTTGTGTCTAAGATGTCATTTGTATTTGTTCTTTTTTAAAGTAAATGTTTTGGCTTTTTCAGTTTCTAGATTTTATAGCATACTCAGGATTTTCCTCACTTAAACTTCTCATTATTGTAAGGAGTCAAAACTTTCCCAATTCTTACTGATTGGAAAAAAAAAGTTGGTACACACTTTTACCATTTTCCCTGCAGGAGCTTGTCCATGAGGCCAATACCATTACTGAATCTGACTTCATGATCATAAAAAAGAACTTTGTCATATTTTAATTTTCATGAGTATTTGGACGAGTATTAATACGCTTTCTATTCAAAGTATCAGAAGATTTTTTTCACATCACTCTTCTGAGAGGTTATTTTCTACAAGAATTTTAGAATCATAACAGCCCCCTTGAGGCTTTCACAGGACCCCAGTCACGTGGACATTTCATGAAGAGCTCACAGAAGGACCTCTCACTTCCCAGCAGCAACATGTATTTTGCCTTCATTTTAACCTTCCCAACCTAAGCTCTTGAGGATGGTAATTTTTGTTACACCATTGCTGTAGTTCACAAGGGAAAATGTCCCCATGAGTTCGTGAATTTGAACATTCGGTCCCCAATTGGTGGTGCTGTGTGGAGAGGTTATGGAGCCTTTAGGAGGTGGAGCTCCCTAAACATTGCTGGGGGTGGCCTTGAGGCCACATATCCTGACTCCAGATGCTGTTCTCTCTGCTTCCTGTGTGTGGATGAAATGGGATCAGCCAGCTTCCTGCTCACCTTGCTAACACCGTGGGGGACTGTAACACTCTGGATCTCTAAGCCAAATTCTTTCTTTCCTCCCCTCAGCTGCTTTGTGTTGGGATATTTTAATGCAGAAACAGAGAAGAAACTAAGAGAGATGGGTTGTATAACGGTGACATGGAATGATATGAAAGCAAGAACAGATGTGAACTTTGAAAATGAAGCCCCCCCCAAAAAAGGGAAATTTAAGACAAGATATTTGGTATAAAAGCAAAAAGTTCTAGTCCCATTAGAACGTCAGGTAGAGTCATTAAGGAAAATAAAGAGCCAAGACTGCAGAATATTGCCCAAGAAGTAATTTTACCAGCTGCCCTGGGGCGTATGAGCAGTAGGCTAATGTGATCACATTTCTCCCATTTCTAACTATATTTTTCAGCAATTCTACTAATTATTAGGCTGAGCAAACAGATGTGGGAAATTGACAGAAATGGTCTGTTACAAATGAAAACCGTGGCTCTTTTTTTAGAGCCACACAACTGTTTATTGTGTCTGGTATTTCCTTTCCTATCCTGAGAAAGAGGAAATGTACAATTATTTAGATGAAAGATACAGGATCATTTTTATTTTCATTTCCATGAACTGCAAGTGGCGGAACTCACCGTTAGCATGTCGTCACATTTCATATCTGGCGTATCACCATCTTCACTTTTATTGTAGAATTTCCGGAAGAAGTTGAATGCCATGTACACAACAACGGCTAACAGGCCAATGGTTAGCACAAGCTGGAGAGTAAGGTAGAGCGCACGTTAGGGACCAGGACCGGCAAGCTTTACAGCTGGGTGGAAGGGATGCCCTACAGCTGCACACCGGACTTATGGACTACAAGCTCATGAGATCCAGAACCTCATTATTTCTCTTCCCTAGCCCACCATTGAAGGCGTTTGTGGACAAATTCTCCTGATTTTATCAAGTTGTCAAAGCATTTTATGTAACTGTGATTATTCTACTGACTAATCACTATATAGTATTGCCAGACTATGAACACACTCTGGTTTGATAAAATCAAACTGATAACTATCAGGAAGCGACTGGCAAGGTTCACATCCCTATCATCTCAATGGCTGGCAGCAGACACTACAGAGCACGCTCTCCTTTGTTACAAGAACAGTTCTCTTCTAAGACTTTATTTTCATTTATACATATGTTTCTGTGTCTGCTTATTTGTAAGTGTACCACATGCATGCAGGTTCTGCAGGGGCCACAAGAGGGCATCTGATCCCCTGGAACTGGAGTTCTAGGAAGTTGGGAACCACCTGACTTGGGTGCTGAGACGTGAACTCAGGTCCTCTGCAAGAGCAGTATGCACTCTTAATCAGTGAGCCATTCCTCCAGCCCTGAGGTTTGTTTTCTGTAAATAATGTACAGGCTTAAAACAGATCACCTTATTTTTCTTACGATAGTAAAAGGGGTCATGAATTAAATTTTATTTTCAATCGCACTTTAAAATTAAATAAGAATTAGTATCAATTCTGAAACCTGGGACTACAGATTTATTGTAAGATACAATTAAATATTAAAAAATATAAAACATGGGCTGAAGAGATGGCTCAGTGGTTAAGAGTACTGACTGCTCTTGCAGAGGACCTGAGTTCGATTCCCAGTACCCACATGGTGGCTAAGAACTGTCCTTAACTCCAGTTCCAGGGGAATCCGACACACTCTCCTGACCTCTGTGGCATCACACAACATGGGTGCACATACATACATGCAGACAGTACACTCATACACATAAAATTTTAAAAATATATAAAACAGGGGTTGGAGAGATGACTCAACAGTTAAGAGCACTGGCTACTCTTACAGAGGATCCAGGTTCAATTCCCAGCATCCACAGCAGCAAAGAACCATTTGTAACTCCATTTCCAGGGGATCTGATGCCCTCTTCTGGCCTCTGCTAGCATTGCACAACATGAGTGCACATGTCAACAGTCATACACATAAAACAAAAATTGTTTTTTTATTTTAAAAAATAAAAATATAAAACAAAAGTCTTGCTATGAAGCATAAGAAATTCATTGGCATGAGAAACACTATAGGTAATGGCCAACAATCTTTTGAAAGCAAGTTATCTCAATGTGGAATTAAATGCCATATTTGGAAAGATCTTTTTTCAGGTCTATGTAATCTCTTACTCCAAATTACATTGTGTATAGAAAGAGCTGGCAGAACTGCTATTATCAATCTCTACCTCTCCCAAATATACTGGTGTATATCATCTATCTATCTATCTATCATCTATCATCTATCTATCTATCTACCTATACCTATATATTATCTATCTGATATGCTAAAGTGTGACTTCTACCAACTTACTGAAAAATCTATTTCTGGTAACACCACAGGAATTCTCAACATACTAAAATGCATCAACCTCACATGTACTTTTTTTTATTAGTCCACATCCTGTGTTCTTGGCAATAACTACATATGTTCACTAAATCTTTATTACATATCTTTAACATCTTGAGAAAGCATGTTCTTTTAATAGCAGCTTTAATTCACTTCTATAAGTATAATGACACTGTGTTCTATATTTTACCTGTTTATTATTCATCTCTCTGTATTTCTCCAAATGAAAGTTTTACACCTCACCAGGATAAGCCATACCCATAAAGACTCAGAAACTGATTGACAGCCTTGACAGACCCTACATAGCGAGGTGTTGAGGAAACAAGGCATCTCCAGCCTTCATTATTTATTTAGGTGTAGGTGTGAATGCCTTCATCAGTTTATACACACTCTGTGCATGCAGGAATCTGAGGAGGCCACTAGAGGGCATCAGATCCTGGAGCTGGAATTACAGGTGGTTGTGAGCCTCCTGATGTGGGCACTAGGAACAGAACTTGGAGCCTCCACAAGAGCAGCAAGCACTCTTAACTGCTGAGCTGTCTCTCCGGCCCTGGCATCTCGTCTTCAACACACTCAGTCTCAATCCACTGGTAAATGAGCTCAGTGCACACTGTCTCTGTCACTGGGCCTGTGACTTGCATGAGAATCAGCCATACTCAGACCCTAAGGTGACACGTATAGGAGCTACTTACTGGGATTTAGAAAACAAAAGATCATGATGATGACTGTGAAATTGAGCACAGTTCTGGTTTTTGGAGGGACACCGATTTTAAAATGTACTGGGCTAGAAGGACTGTTCATCCTTGGATGTAATTAGTAATTACTATAGAATTATTACCACCCAGTGGACACTTGAAAAATAGCAAATGAATCAATAAATGGATACTTCTGCTCTAGGTCACAGCAATAGGCGGTTTCAGCATGGAACAGCTGAGTTCCATCAGAATGCAAGTAGATTGCCTGAACCTAGACCAGCTGTCCTCTAAGCTGTCATGACCTTGTTAAGTGTCAGTACTTATTTGTTCATTTTAAAAGTGGAAATAGTACATGAATAAAAATTAAAATATCTCATTAACTTAAATTGCAGCATCTCTCATTACTATTATCACTAACACCTCAGGATCCTATATTTTTAGTGCCGCATGCTATCAGATATACAAACATCACCGCATGAGCAAAATAGAACTAATTTCCTCCACGCTTAATAAATGTGATTCTAAGTCCTCTGTGTTTTCTTATAATGGTCACAAAAGTCTGACAATGCTTTATTAGTCTTGCTTTAGAAAATAAGGAAATTTGAGATTTACTTATCCAGGGCCACATGACTAATCCCTTAAATCAATTCCTGAACTCAAGTCATGGGAACTTTGGAACAACTAATCTTCATGGCTTATAAGGAAAAAGGTATAGATCATTTATCAAAAAAAAAAGAAGCCTTTAAAGTCACATACTGTCATCTCGGTGTTGGTTTGGGTTTTGCCTGCTCTTTTTGTTGCTGATTTTAGTTACTTAAAGGGAAGGAAGCTACGAACACTTACCTGTTTGCAGTTGTGAGTGACTGAAGACAGGATGGTTCGCAAGGTCTTGATTCCCATTGCAATGTCAAGATGAGCAGCAAAAAAAAGTTATAGTGTCCGAGGATGGACATGGTCACATACCAGGCTAGGTAGAGGAAGGACGGTCAGGACAAAACAGGGCGGGATGGGGGTCAGAAATCAGAGCATGTGAGGGCTGCACAAAGCCACTTTGATTTCACTCTGCGCTAACCACTCCACTCACCACCTTTTCTAGACTGCTGTTCTTCAGTTCTAAAGAACTGGATTAGTTCTTTTAATTTTATTTTTATTTTATGTGTATGAGTGTATTGCATCCATGTTGTGCAAAGCCTGTGGAGGTCAGAAGAGGATGAGAGATGATCCCCTGGAACTGGAGCTATGGACAGTTGTTAGCTGCCATGTGCATGCTGGTATTTGAACCGGGGTCTTCTGCAAGAACAGTCAGTGTTCTTAACCGCTGAGCCCCCAAATACATGGATTTTTATACTGAACCTAGAAAAGATATCTATGATGGCGATGGCAGGCATTTTCTTACTTTTTTTTTTTTTAGATGCTAATCTATTTCATTCTAGCAGCA